CCCCCCATTTTCCCCTCACACCTCCCCCATTTTCCCCCCACATCCCCCCCATTTTCCCCTCACATCCCCCCCATTTTCCCCTCACATCTCCCCCATTTTCCCCTCACATCTCCCCCCATTTTCCCCTCACATCTGCCCTATTTCCCCTTAAATCTCCAAGTTTAACACCACAGTTTTAAGACTGCCCTTTTTGTGCAGCCCAGTTGCCTGCAGGACCCCAGGATAATCAGGAATTGCAGCAGGATGTAACCAGGGATCTGTGTTTGTTCCTTTTCCTGATTGTTTTTGTGTGGTTCCATCCCTTCCCATCAGCTCCAGGTGCTCCCAGAGGAGTCAGGGACCTACTTAATCTCCCATTCCCATCCCAGCTGAAACAGAAAATAGATGAGACAAAATATTTTGCTACGAGGTGCAGGGGAAAAAAAGGCTAAAACTCAAATTTTATGGTGGCTTGGAGGTCACATAAATCTTGACAGCTCGAGGTTCAATCCCTAGATCAGCTCCATGGACTGACTGAGCCTTTTTGCTGCTGATTCTTCTTAAAAACCTTGTCCCAGTTGAAAATTTAAACTCTTTCCCTGTCTTCATTTGCATCCAGCTGGGACTGGAGTGTCTGGCTCAAGGCTCTGGAGCCCATCAATTATCTCAGGTGCCTTAATTTCAAATTTCACACCCTCAAAGGTGTCTGGGGAGGGGCTTTGAAGTGCTGCTTACCTGACACCAGCTCCGAGGCTCCTTCTGTCCCCCTCCTTGTTGTGAGAGCTACTGAAAATCATTTTGAAAACTGAAAATCATTAAAAGGAAATGTGCCAGAAGTGGCTTCACAAATTCCCTTTATTTCAAGGCTTTTCAAGTGGCTCCTGCTTGTCACAGTACTCAAATGGAGCTGTTGCTGGTTTACTAAAATTAAAAAAAAATCTGTTTCCAAGCACTGGGAGCTGCAAATCTTCCTCCTTCTGTTGCAGACCTGATGGACACCAGAATAACTTGAGGAGTTCTGCCTATGAATCCCTGATGGAAATAGTGAAAAACAGTGCCAAGGACTGTTATCCTGCTGTCCAAAAAACCACCCTGGTCATCATGGAGAGGCTCCAGCAAGTGCTGCAGATGGAGGTGGGTAAATCCTGATTTAAAACAGGGAAATTGTGGCTGCTCTGTCCCTGGGAGTCTCCAAATGCAGGGATGGTGGGAGGTGTCCCTGCCCATGGGAATGGATGGGATTTAAGGTCCCAAACCACTCAGGGATTCTATATTCAGCTTCTTCACAGCCCCTCTGCTCTGAAATCTGAAAAGAACAAATATTTAAAGTACAACCTGGCTCTCTCTGGAGCTGCCAGGATCCCAGGCAGCCTCTTCACATGCGGGGTTTTGTTCTTGTTTCAGTCTCACATCCAGAGCACCTCTGACAGAATTCAATTCAACGATCTCCAGTCCCTTCTCTGTGCTACTCTCCAGGTAAATTCCTCTCTCCTGTTTATTTTTTGTGGGAATAAAGTGATTTTTGAGGCATTTTTGTGCCCCCTGAAGATCCAACCGCAGCTCCTGGTGCTGAGAATTGAATGAAAAAAGTGGAATTTGGGTCCCAGCTGACACGTGGGAGGTGCTGCAAGGTTCAGAAGTCTCTAAGTTGTGCTCTAGTGACAAAATCCAGGGCAATATGACTCAACGCTGTTGGGGATTTTATAAAAGAATTGTCTGTGCTGTCAGATTGGTTCTTGGGTTGGCTAGAGCCTCAACAATCCCACAGTCAACAACAAAAAAATCCCCTCATGGCTTTGATTCCTTCATCTGCCTCTCGTGCTTGGTGCTCCTGATCCAAATGGCATCAATTAAAATGTTCTGAGTGTCCTCAGAATTCCCAATTAAACATCTGCTAATGAGCAGGAGCCACCAGTGCAGTGCTTACTGCTGCAAACGCCACTCCAAAAAGGGCATTCTCCCTCAAAAATCAGCTCAGAGCAACCCAGGTGGTCTCGAGGTTGATTTGAGAAATCCTTAATTTCATCTTCAGTAGCTTTGTGGTTGTTTTCACTCTCCAATTTTAGGGTAATTTTTGAAAATAATGGGAAATGGGAATAATCTGTTCTTAGAAAGAGTTCTAATGGGGAATTTTCACTCTGGAATCTCACAGGGTGGGCACTAATCTATGTCAGGGGGGTGTAGTCCAGGTGGAATTAAGCTGCCAGTTTTAATTTCTAAATGTGGGTTTTTTATCATCCCAAAACCTGAACCTGAATTTTTTACCCAGTTGCAGCAAATACTTAAAAACAACTGAGTAAAATTCAGCAGAGGGGCTTTTTTCAATATTAAAAAAAATGAAATCTATTGGTCTTTTACCTAATTTTTTTGTTGTTTTGCTGGAGATACAATTGCAAACATCCAGCAGAGGAAAAACATTTGTTAATATTTAAAGTTAAGTGAGAAAATCCCACCCCTGGAAGGATGGGAAGGAGCAATTTGGTTCAGTGGAATATGTACCTGTCTGTGGAATTCAGGGATTTTTAAACTTCCTTCCCACATAAACCATCCTGTAATTCCATAGATCAAGTCTTAATTACATAAACAGCCAAAGTCTGTCTTTGTGGCGTGAAAATTTAAACTTCAAATAATTACTTTCCTCTGGAAGTTAAGGATTTTTTTCTTTTCCTGGGAATTGTTGAATTGTAACCACTTCAAGCATTTCTAAACTAATTCAGAAGCCAAACTCGGGTTCAACCCCTACAAGCTCAGCTGCAACAGTAAAAAAGAAAAAAGTATTTTCTTTTTTTTACTTTTTTTAATAGGCTAAATTTGGGCTGGTCACATTTAATTCCAGCTTACAAGTAGCAAAGCTTTGAGAACAGCCCATGCAGCAGGAAAGGGAAATTCAGCTGGAAAATCTGAATGCAGCCAAATGAACGGGACTTTGCAGCCACAAAAGCAGATTTTTTTTGGCAGCAAAAGGGTTCAAACAGCAGCTCTTTCATCCTTATCACAGCTCCCAGGGGTGTGGGAATGCTGGGATGAGCAGTGGGTTTTGCCTATTTTCCATGATTTTTCCCTAGGAAAATGCAGCTCCTAGGGGTGTGGGAATGCTTTACCTGTGGGATGAGCAGTGATTTTTGCCCATTTTCCATGATTTTTCCCTCAGAAGTTGCAGCATCCCGGGGTGTGGGAATGTCTTACCAGTGGGATGAGCGGTGATTTCTGCCTGTTTTCCATGATTTTTCCCTCAGAACTTGCAGTATCTAGGGCTGTGGGAATGTCTTACCAGTGAGATGAGCAGTGATTTTTGCCCGTTTTCCATGATTTTTCCCTCAGAAGTTGCAGCATCCCGGGGTGTGGGAATGTCTTACCAATGAGATGAGCAGTGATTTTTGCCCATTTTCCATGATTTTTCCCTCGGGACGTGCTGTGGAAGGTGCAGCACCGAGGTCTTACCAGTGAGATGAGCAGTGATTTTTGCCCATTTTCCATGATTTTTCCCTCAGAAGTTGCAGCATCCCGGGGTGTGGGAATGTCTTACCAGTGAGATGAGCGGTGATTTTTGCCCATTTTCCATGATTTTTCCCTCGGGACGTGCTGTGGAAGGTGCAGCACCGAGGGGTGCGGGAATGTCTTAGCATTTAGATGAGCAGTGATTTTTGTCCATTTTCCATGATTTTTCCCTCAGAAGTTGCAGCACCCAGGGGTGTGTGTGGGAATGTCTTACCAGTGGGATGAGCGGTGATTTCTGCCTGTTTTCCATGATTTTTCTCTCAGAACTTGCAGTATCTAGGGCTGTGGGAATGTCTTACCAGTGAGATGAGCAGTGATTTTTGCCCATTTTCCATGATTTTTCCCTCAGAAGTTGCAGCATCCCGGGGTGTGGGAATGTCTTACCAGTGAGATGAGCAGTGATTTTTGCCCGTTTTCCATGATTTTTCCCTCAGAAGTTGCAGCATCCCGGGGTGTGGGAATGTCTTACCAGTGAGATGAGCAGTGATTTTTGCCCATTTTCCATGATTTTTCCCTCGGGACGTGCTGTGGAAGGTGCAGCACCGAGGGGTGCGGGAATGTCTTAGCATTTAGATGAGCAGTGATTTTTGTCCATTTTCCATGATTTTTCCCTCAGAAGTTGCAGCATCCCGGGGTGTGGGAATGTCTTACCAATGAGATGAGCAGTGATTTTTGCCTGTTTTCCATGATTTTTCCCTCAGAACGTGCTGCGGAAGGTGCAGCACCAGGACGCGCTGCAGATCTCGGACGTGGTGATGGCGTCACTGCTCAGAATGTTCCAGAGCACGGCCGGCTCCGGGGGGGTGCAGGAGGACGCCCTGATGGCCGTCAGCACCCTGGTGGAAGGTCAGGAACGGGCTGGGAACAGCCTGGGATGGGGTTAGATCCAGGAATTTTGGGCAACATGGTGAAAAATGTCATTTGTGGCTGGGTGGTGCAGGGAAGGTGGGGGTGCTCCATCCCTGGAAGTGTCCAAGGTGGCACTTCAAGGGATAGTGCAAGGTGGCACTTCAAGCTCCTCTTGAAATCAAAAAATCCTGGGATTCTGAAATCAAATCCACCTTAGAGCGTGGAATTTTGGTTTCTTGTACTTTCTTATTATTTCCAAGGGAAAATATGGATAAGGCAGTGAACAAGAGCTGGGCGTGTTGGCATGCCTGAAGTGTCCAAGGCCAGGTTGGAAAGGGCTTGGAGCAACTTGGGATAGTGGAAGGTGTCATTTAAAAGTCCCTTTCATCCCAAGAAATCCTGGGATTCTAAAATCTAGACCACCTTGGAGCATGGAATTGTGGTCTGGCGTATTTTCTTCTTACAATAAGAAATATGGGAATTTTTCCAGTCCATTTCAGTTACTCGATTGTCATGTGGAGAGTTGGTTTTCACTGTTTTGCGTGGAATTTCAGGGATATCTGATCTGTTTTTTATGGCAAACACCACAAACTGGGATTTTCCTTCTCACTGGATTGTTTTCCCTGCACAGTTCTGGGTGGAGAATTCCTGAAATACATGGATGCCTTCAAACCTTTCCTTGGGATTGGGCTGAAAAACTACGCTGAGTACCAGGTATGGATCCAATCTCTCCCTTTATCCAGGGAAATTGTGGCTGCCCCATCCCTGGAATTTTCCAGGGCCAGGTTGGATGAGTGTTGAAAGGTGTTCCCTGCCCATCCAGTGGGGTCACTTCCAGCCCAAACAATCCTGGGATTCTAAAATTCAAACCACTTTGGAGCGTGGAATTTTGGTTTCTTACGTTTTCTTAGTTACTTCCAAGGAAAAGTGTCGATAGGGCAGCAAATTCCCCTTGGAATGTCTCAAATCCTGATGCCCTCCAGGGGAATCTGGAGGTTTTTTTCCCAGACCAAATCCTGGCTGGGATTTCCCTTTGAAATATCAAATCCTGGTGGCCTCCATCCATGGGGTGAAACTGGAATTTGGAGGTGTTTTTCCCCAAATCCTGGCTGGGATTTTACCTTGGAATATCAAATCATGGCTGGGGTTTCCCCCTGGAATATCAAATCCTGGTGGCCTCCATGGGGATTTTGGAGCTGTTTTTCCAGCCCAAATCCTGTCTGGGACTTGCCCCATGGAAAACTGTGGAATTTTGAGGTGTTTTTCCAACCCAAACCCCTGCCACTCCTGCATGTGCTGCCCTCGTGCCACCCCTCCGTGCTGTCAGCCAGCTCGTTATTCCCAGGATCAAATCACCCTCCCGTGTGTCCAGATCCCAAATCCCCGGGGCTGATCCCAAATCCCCGGGGCTGATCCCTGCTCCGTTGCAGGTCTGCCTGTCGGCAGTGGGGTTGGTGGGGGACCTGTGCCGAGCCCTGCAGTCCAACATCCTCCCCTTCTGCGACGAGGTGATGCAGCTGCTCCTGGAGAACCTGGGGGTGAGTGGGAGATTCCCGGCTCCCGAGTAACAGTTGGATGCACACTCTTCCCTGGGAGTGGGAGGTGGGAGAAGTGGGAGGAATCCGCCGGGAATGTCTCGTGTTTGGCAACGCGGTTTGAACGGCGGCCAGGGGGTGTTGGGGGCAAGGGATTTGGGTTCTGAGGGAATGTCTCCTTTAGCAGCTTCCTGAATTCCTAAATAAATTCCTGCCTGAATTCCTCCCAAATTCCTTCCTCTCTCCCACTTTCCATCTCTCCCACTCCCTCTGCCTCCTTTCCTTCCTGAATTCCTTCCTAATTTCGTGGATTCCTTCCTTCCTGGATTCCTGGATTCCTTCCTTCCTGAATTCCTTCCTTCCTTCCAAATTACTCCCTCCCTTCCTTCTTTCCTTCCTCTTGAATTCCTTCCAAAATCCTTTCTTCTTCCCTTCCAAAATCCTTTCTTCCTCCCCTCCAAAATCCTTTCTTCCTGCCTTTCCCTGCCTTTCCCCCCCCCTACACACATTCCTGAGACATTTCCAGGCATTTTCCAACCCCTGGCTGTACTTTGCTCCAACACTTCACAACCCTTCCACTGGAGAAGCATTCCGAAGCATCCCGCACAAAACCCCAAAACTGGCGCAGCTGGAGGCCATTCCCTCTTTTCCTTTCCCCATTCCCACGCTGATCCAGGACCCTCTGGGGGTGTTTTCCTTGCAGAACGAGAACGTGCACAGGTCGGTGAAGCCTCAGATCCTCTCAGTGTTCGGGGACATCGCCCTGGCCATCGGGGGCGAGTTCAAGAAGTACCTGGACGTGGTGCTCAACACCCTCCAGCAGGCTTCCCAGGCCCAGGTGGACAAGGTGAGCTGTCCCCAATCCCTGGGGACATTCCCAGGGTCTCACCCTGATGCCTCAAGAGCAGAGTTAAAGGAATAACTTTATTCCTTTAGGATTTATTACGGGATTTATTAAGGGATACACCTTGAGCAGCACAAGAGCCAACACCCAACTGGTCACGAGTTTTCACACTTCCATTAAAAGTTTTGGTCCATTTCCATGTTGGGATTAATTGTCCAAGTGCAGCTCCAGGTTTTGAAATCCCAGATTGCTCCATCAATCCTCTGTTTTTTGCACTTTCTGGGCCCAACTGTGCCCTTGTTCCTGGGGCTGGATTGTTGTGTGTGAACTGTGAGGAGAGCTTGCTGACATTCAGAGTCAAACATAATGCAGCAGAGAACCTGGAAAAACATCAAAATTCAAACTTGAGGCATCATTTTGTCCCTGTGTCCGTCCCCAGTCCGACTACGACATGGTGGATTACCTGAACGAGCTGCGGGAGGGCTGCCTGGAGGCCTACACCGGGATCATCCAGGGGCTGAAGGGAGACCAGGAGAACGTGCACCGTGAGTGCCATCCAGCTTGGGAAAGATCCTGAAAAATCAGACACCTCCAAGCCCCCAGTTCCACTTTCCATGGGGAAAAGCCACTTTCCACTCCACCTGGTTTTTTGGGGCATTTAGAACCTTTCTAGCGGAGAAATATTCCCAAATATCCCATACAAACCTCCTTAAGCCTCCTTTTGGCTCTGTCCCTTCCCTTCAAATCAGCCAGTCGGTGCCACCTCACCCAGTGCCACATCCACCTGGTTTTTTTTGGGGCATTTAGAACCTTTCTAGTGGAGAAATATTCCCAAATATCCCATACAAAGCTCCTTTTGAGGTTGCCACATCCTTGGGCACGTCCCTGCTCCTTCCCTTAAAATCAGCCACATCCCTCAGTTCCACATCCACTGTTTTTTTGGGCATTAAAACCCTTCTAGTGGAGAAATATTCCCAAATATCCCTAAAATAAATAAATACAAACCTCCCTAAGCCTCCTTTTGGGGTTGGCACATCCTTGTCACCTGCTCCTTCCCTTCCTTTAAAATCATCCAGTGTCACCTCCAAACCACATCTCCTTTTTCCCTTTATTTCCCTGAATTCCTTTTTCCCCCTGAATTCCTTTTTTTTCCCCCATTTTTTGTCTGAATTCCCTTTTTTCCCCCCTTAATCCCCTGAATTCCCTTTTTTCCCCCTTAATCCCCTTTCCACCCCTTAACGCTCAGTGCCACATCCCCACATTCCTGGGACATTTCCAGGGATCCAGGATTTCCCCCTGAGCCTTCTTTCGGGATTGTCACACCCCTGTGACAACAAACCCTGAGAGCAAGGAACAGCAAAAATCCCAAATAATCCAGGACCCGATTCCCCTTCCCTCCCAGAGGAGCCGTTCCGGGTGGGATCCAGGTTGTTTTGGGAACACAAAACGTCCATCCCAAAAATTCCCAGCTCTGACCAAGCCTTTCCCCTGCAGCTGACGTGATGCTGGTGCAGCCCAGGGTGGAATTTATCCTCTCCTACATCGACCACATCGCGGGGGACGAGGATCACACGGACGGGGTGGTGGCCTGCGCCGCAGGACTCATAGGGTGAGGCCTCCCCATCCTCCTTTTCCTAGGAAAAATCCTGGAATTTGCCCTTTTTTCCTGAAGTTTTTAGTGTGAGTTTTGGGGTTGGAGTTTGGTGTTCGGCTCCAGGTGTGAAGCGATTCCACAGCTGAGAAAATCACCACAAAAACCCCAGATTTAGGATTTTTCCAGGAGTTTAGAACCAAAAAAAATTCCTCATCCTTAGGGAACAGAGAAATCCAGGTTGAAATCCTGGAATCTGCCCTTTTTTCCTGCCTCTCTGAAGTTTTTAGTGTGAGTTTTGGGGTTGGAGTTTGGTGTTTGGAAGCGATTCCGCAGGTAAGGGATGAGGTGAGAAAGTTATCGCAAAAATCGCAGGTTTAGGATTTTTCCAGGAGTTTAGAAGCAAAAAAAACTCCTCATCCTTAGGGAACAGAGAAATCCAGGTTGAAATCCTGGAATCTGCCCTTTTTTCCTGCCTCTCTGAAGTTTTTAGTGTCAGTTTTGGGGTTGGAGTTTGTTGTTCGACTCCAGGTGTGAAGCAATTCCACAGCTGAGAAAATCACCACAAAAACCCCAGATTTAGGATTTTTCCAGGAGTTTAGAAGCAAAAAAAACTCCTCATCCTTAGGGAACAGAGAAATCCAGGTTGAAATCCTGGAATCTGCCCTTTTTTCCTGCCTCTCTGAAGTTTTTAGTGTCAGTTTTGGGGTTGGAGTTTGTTGTTCGACTCCAGGTGTGAAGCAATTCCACAGCTGAGAAAATCACCACAAAAACCCCAGATTTAGGATTTTTCCAGGAGTTTAGAACCAAAAAAAACCCAAACCCCTCATCCTTAGGGAACAGAGAAAGCAATTTTTCCTGATGAATTTAAAGAAAATTATGGAGAAATCAACCTTTGGGCAAGAAATCGATTCGTTAATCACAATTTCCCCAAAATCAACGCCCCAGACCAGCATTTTTTACCACTCACCTCCTTTTTTTTCCCTAATTTTTCTGCTTCCAGGGATTTGTGTACAGCTTTTGGGAAGGATGTCCTGAAATTAGTAGAAGCCAGACCCATGATCCATGAACTGCTAACGGAAGGGAGGAGATCCAAGACGAACAAAACGAAAACCCTCGCCACCTGGGCCACAAAAGAGCTGAGAAAACTCAAGAACCAAGCTTGGTGAGGGCTCATCCTGGATTTTTTTCCCACCTAAAAAAATCAGGGAATTGGCTCAGCAGAGCCTGGGAAGAATCCCAATCCCAAAGTTCTGTTTTCCACTGGGTTGCTTTCCTTGTTTTTGGTGGAAAAAAGCCCCGTTTGGGGGTTTTTATTTCTCTTTTAATCCTACAAAGTCGATTTTTTTTTCCCCACATTTTTTTCTTCTGGGATTTGGGGTGTTGAAGTCTTTTATTTTTTGTGTAATCCTGGAATTATTAAGGTTGGAAAAATCTCTAGGATGGAGCCCAACCCAAGAGCCACATCCTCACATTTTTAACCACTTTTAGGGCTTTTAAGTCCCTTTTACCCCCTGAATTCCCTTTTTTTCCCCCCCAAATTCCTTTTTTTTTCCCCCTTAATCCCCTGAATGCCCTTTTTACTCCCCTGAATTCCCATTTTTTCCTCTGAGTTCCCTTTTTTCATCTTAATTCCCTGAATTCCCTTTCTCCCTTTAAATTCCCTGAATCCCCTTTTTATCCCTGAATTCTCTTAATCCCCTTTTCCCTTGAATCCCCCTTTTTAATTCCCTTTTCCCCCCTCAATTCCCTTTTTTCCCCTCGATTCCCCAAATACCTTTTTTCCCCCCTAAATCCCATTTTTTCCCCTTAAATCCCTTTTTTTTTCCCCTTGATTCCCCAAATCCCTTTTTTCCCCCCTAAATCCCATTTTTCCCCTTAAATCCCTTTTTTTTCCCCCCCTCTCCTTTTCCAGATCTGTTACCATTGGGACGACACCTGAGGACCCCCACTGGAAAAAAACAACAACACCAACAACACCAAGAGAAAAAAAAAAAAAAGGAAAAATCTCCAATCTCCTACAAAACCCCCCAAAAAAAAACCCCGGGAGTGAGGACGTGTGCGGAATGTTTGGGAATGAGAGGATGCTGAGGATGAGTGAGTGAGGCTCGGAACAAAAATCCCAACGTTTGGTGAGAACCCCGGCATCCAGGAGGGAATTCTGTGCCCCAAAAATTCCAAGGAAAACACCAAAAAAAAATAAGGGGAAAGAAAAAAGCAAACCTGAAAATTCCCAGGAGCGGCTGAGCTCGGAGGTGAAAATGAGGGAAAAACGGGGAAAATTGGGATTCAAGTGGTGCTCTGTGAGGTTTTGGCTGCTGGAGAGAGAGAGAGAGAGAGAGGTGGAAAATTGGGAATGTCCCAGGGATTTGGGAATGTCCCAGGGATTTGGGAATTTCCCAGGGATTTGGGAATGTCCCAGGGATTTGGGAATCTCCGGGATGAGGCAAATCCCAAAGGAGAGAGAAGGAATTTCAAGAGGAGTGAGTGTGTGTGAGTGAGGTCATATCCACATTCT